CTTAATCGGCCATGCATGGTGCACGAAGTTTCATTTTTTTATAAGATTGCATTTATATGTCCTATACCCCAAAGGGTAAAAGAAGGAGGCAATGGCAAAACAAGTACTCCTTTCCAGACAAACACTGGAGTCAAGCAAGGCTGCCCTCTCTTGCCACTGCTCTTCAACATCGTGGTAGACGAATTCATGAGGGAAATATGCAAGTCCAAGCGTGGCATCACGTGGAACTTCAACAGACATCTTGAAGACTTGGACTATGATCTCTCACAGGCTCTGTGATATCCAATCCAAAGCTGATGACCTCGTTGAGTTAGCCAGTCGAGTCGGGCTGGAAATAAACACGGCAAAAACAAAAGCGATGCGCTTCAATCACGCCAGCCAAGGAAATGTCAACATACGTGGGAACCCAATCGAGTTTGTCGATAACTTCCCATACCTCGGCACCATTATCTCCAACAATGGTGGCGTGAACGAAGATGTATCGAGCCGTCTTACCACAGCCCGAGCAACATTCGGAAGACTGTATCGCATATGGAGAAGCGGCCTACCAAAGGCGGAGCGCATTAATCACCGCAGAATAGGCTTCAAAGTAGGACCCTGTTAAGATACAGGAGGATACGATGTTGTCTTGTGGCTGTTACAATCATATGTATAATCATTTCAGTGGCGGATAGAATAGAGTTTCAGATTTGCAAGCGCATTGTAGTTCTCTATATGTCCGGACTATCGAGATTATACTGTGGATCAATGCTTGTCACATTAAGCCTGAAAGTCGCAGCAGTCATTGGCAAAATAGTGATAAGTGTAATGTACAGCGACGTCAAAGTGAGACATGTGCACTACTTGGATGTTCTCTAATGCATGCATACATATATACTATGAGCATCTGTATGTGTGTGTGTGTGCATAAAAATGCTTCCCTTATGCACATACAGGAGCATATGTATGTATGTGTGCGCCTGCTATGTTTACTCAATAAATTAAATGTATGTAGTAATTTGAAAATCCAAAATAAATACCCAGCTTGCTTGCCTCTGCCGTTTGAGTGCCTGGTTGCGGTGGAGAGGGGGAGGCAGAAGGAAGCAAAATCAAATGCGCTGCTAATATTAAATGTACACAAACGTAGGAGTTAATCCTTATCGACAATTTGACATCAGCAATTTTCGATGCTTTTGCTTTCAAATAACGGAAACCATTAAGTTGTCACATGCATTCGCCGCAATGCTACACCACAGCACCATCAGAAGCTCCAGCAGCCTAGCAGCCATAAAAAAAAGCGCACACACACTCACACATATATAAATGTGTACACACACACACACACACAAACACACACTATATGTACCAAAGTCAGGCGTGAGTGAATGCACCCGCACGGTGCCAAACTGTACTCGTACTTGGTTGTATATTCGTGTTGGTGGCCAACACTGGCGCAGGCGAAAGCCACAAGTGGTCATTCAGACAAATGGCCAAATGGCGACGCTCATGAATAATTCAGATTTTAAATTGCATTTATGCAAATGCCATGCGGATGCTCGCAGATTTTCGCCACTGGCAGTCGCGATGCGCCGGCGCCGCTGTCGACACCAACGCCGCTGAGCGGCGCATTCCATCCCAGCGGCACAGTGGCAACAACAATAATAGCAACAACAGGAACAGGAAAAGGAGCAGCAGCACCAACGACAACATCAGCGACAACACCAACAGCAACGGCCACGGCATCGGCGACGGCAACGCATTTGCAACTTAATGCCCCGAAAGCTGCGAGTTTTTCGCTAATGCACAATTTGTATGCGTCAACACTTTCGTCAGAGCGGTCCGGTGGAGCAGCAGAGCAGCAGAACAGAAGCAGCGCACACTTGCCATTTCATGCATTTATTTTTATCATCGCAAATATCAAAACTGCTGCGATAAGCGACAGCAACCGTAGCAATACACTGCAAAAATTAAATAAAATCAAGTCGCATAAATAAATATGCAAGAAACAATAATTATCAGCTGGGGCACATGTTGTAACTTGCAAAGCTGAATTTTAATTTATCATCCTCACTCTTAGCCAAACATATAAATTACATTCTCACATCACAATTCCAGTTATTTATAAGTAAGCCATAACATATCATAATGGAATAGAGATTTTCACTGAAATCGTTTTTTCAAAAGACTTCCGACAGAAAATCTAGACTTCAGGTTAGGTCTAATTGTATGGTCAGTATTTTTAATTAATCTCTGAAAATGTACCATATATCGCACACAAACAAAAATATGTTTAAACTATACTATCTGTGTTAAAAACTCCGAAAGCAGAACAAGTTGTTGTAAGGCAAGCCCAAAACAAAATTCAAAGTCAACAAATTTAAATAAATATTAGTAAATTTGAATTCTTACAACTATATAAAAGTAGTTCGGATACCCACAAAAAAGCTTTTCGTCTTACACTTAACTAACTGTTTCCAAACAAATTCAATTGAAAGCATGAATATGATTTTTCAAAGATACTCAACTTTTGGGTATGTTGAAAAACTCCATTAAAAACATCTGCTTTTATGCAATCATATACGAGTACGAATCTGTCCTGCTTCCTCAGCAGTCGACGTGCATTTTAAAATCACGTTTTAAAATAAAAATATACCACAATAAAAGCACATTATAGTTTATTTGATTTTGTTAGTGCAATTTCATTAGGAAAACTGTTTCTTTAATAATCTTTCTTAATTACCAATAGTTATTAGTATCTTGAATTTTACTAAATGCCAAACAATTGAAATGAGTTTATAAACACCTGGGAAGAAAACTGCTCTTATCCTTTTTATGCCCCGCTACCGAAGCTTAAAATATACCAGAAAGTCTAGAAAAGAAAGTCTAAACTCCAAAAGTATTTAACGGGCAGCAGAAGGCTTCTCAGATGCAATGTGCCTATAACCTACCTATTTATTTAATTATCAATATATCGAGAAAGAAAGGAAAATAATTAGGTTCATCAAGAATGGTAAGTAGACTTGTCTTATATAAGTATATGCAGGTCAAGTTTATTACAAACCTTTCACATTTATTACAAGCCAATAAATATTAATTAAATCCAAATTTGAAATATGAGGACATCAAGCAATTTGTGTTACATTTTATATGATTTATTTGTATACCCTTGAGACTAAATCAATCAGAATGAAGCTTAGATTTCGGAAACGATTGAGTCGATGATGAGCAGCCTTGAATGTAGACTCGTCTAAGCCCTAATTTCCTTTGTGTTAAGCAATAATTTTGAAATATAATATTTTTCCGAGTGTAGTCACAGTAAGAAGAGCTCAAGAGCACTTGATTTCATTTTCGAGCTTGCATTGGTTGCTGGACGCTGCCAAGCGCCATTCACGCCACCAACAACAAGCACAATAATAATAGCGTGTATGGGGGTTGTGATGGGCACGGGGGGGTTTTGGTTGGGGCCAAGTGAAGCACTGACCTGCAAGACATAAATTGGGCAGCCCAAAACCACCTGGCCTGCTCTCAACTCTTTCGCAATTTGTGCGCATTGCCAGCTGCAGATGCTTTCTTGCCAGTTTCGAGTCTCGCTCCAGAAACTTGCAGATTTATTGCTCACAAACTTTTATTGCCTGAAAGAATATGTACGCAGACGGCATAGATGCAATCTGGAACTTGTTTGAGAAAAACATTTTTTGGCCAGCTGCACAGACGGGTAATTGAAGTCGCTCAGCTGGCACACCCAGTCTCGGTTACGTTGGTTTATCTATTGAATGACTCGCATGACTTTTGGTCAAGTCAACCTGTGTGCGAAAACAGATGCCTAAGTGTTAACTCGTGTAGTTGATAATAGTTATAATTGAGGCAGCTACTTCCCCTTAGTCCTTATACTATGTCCAAATTGACAATATGTGGAAGATTTTACTTCTTGCTCTTACAAGCCATCACACACACGTTTTTATAAATTACAGTCTTTCCGGTTTATTGCAACACTACTTTAGCAAAAGTTTCTTACATAATAAATCGAATTTAGTTTAAGTCTAGAGCATTTATGTTCCTAAAGTGCTGAATTTTGTAGGCATACCTTTCTTCTTATTTATTAAAGCTTTGTAGGCATAGAAGACATTACTTTTTGGTCTTGTGGCTTTTGCAAAAAGGTTCTTCTTAATAAACAAAAATAAAATGCAAATCTGCACTGAAAAGTAATAATATACACTGAAAAGAGCTTCCTTGTATCTGCATCTAAGCATCATTGGAATGTTAGAGTCATGCAAGAGCAACTCTTAAATACACTTTACCAAACAAAAACTATTTCTTTTATGAACAGATTTTAAAATTGTATCTTTTTAACGTTTCAAATTACTGATGCAATTTATCTTATTTCTATCAATGTTACAAACTACAGACTCACCCTTTCAGTATACTTGTACATAAGAATGAACAGGATATAAGTGCCATGTAACGTTAAATTTTAAAAGCTAGTGCAGTACAATAATATTGACATGTAGATGGAGAGACGAATATGGTTATACCGACTCAACATTTCACTGATTAATGATATACATACATACCTATAAGTATGTATTTTGTATGACAATTCCTCCGTTTTATAACTCTTTAACTGCTAATAAAGCATAAATTTTAACTCAAAATCGGACCAGTTAATATATTAACACTCTCAGTGCTACACCGATTTAACCAGGAAACTTAGATTGCCACGCTTCCCCACATTATTTGCATATCTAGATCATAGTTAAATTTATGTTTGAAATCTTCTAGTGTACTAATTGTTTCAACTATAATAATCTTTTTCGACACTGCAAAATGCGCTATTAAAAGTGTTCCAATCCGCTAAGTAAGCACATACTTATAGTAAGTAATATTCTGAATATCAGAACTCCTAAAACAAGGAGACTACTTTTGTACCCTCATTTTAAGCATATTTCAAAGATTCCAGATTTATTAATTTCCTTGCTAGGTTTATATCGCGACCTTAACTTTAATTACAAATAACATCGAGCTTGCATTCCAATAACAATTTATTACCAGATAAATGCCATAATGGTATTATAGAATGTATTGATATAATTTGATAAAAGTAAAGTATTTTATATACTTGTACAATATTCAAATTTATAGATAGTATACATTAATTTAATTCACTTCAGTTCCGTTTACGGAAGCTCGTTCCTTTTCAAAACTTTGCAAACGTTTTAACAAGCGAACTACCTTATTGCGAAATATCTGTTTTTTCTCTTCAGAAAGTGACTTTACAATAGGTAACAAGCCTTTCAAAAAATCCATGTCACACACTTCGTCCAATGTGGGCACCCTAGATATTGCTGGGGACGGATTCTCGGTATCTAATGTCAAGTCCACGGTAATCCAAGGCCGAGTATTAACAGTTAACTGTTTCGGCCCAGAAGTTTTAGGAAATCTGCTCTTAAACATATCAACCGAAACATCAAAAGCGAGTGTATCATCGCTGCTGACATCTACAATGAAACCATCTAGGCTGTCTGACTGCGATGAGTTCTGTTGCGGCGGAAATGGTACCAATTGCTCCGGATCGTAGATCCGGCGCAGAAACTCCATGGATTGAAAGTGGGGCCACTGCGACTTGGCCACGACACGATTTTGTAATTTTCGAATTTCGCAACGATAGAGGTGGCGCAAGCTCCGGAATCCTTTCTCACATAATTCAACTGGAAAATATTTTACATACATACATATGTATATCTGTTCAGACAGCACAACTGAAATATATTTTTGCTTACCGTCCGAATTCATTGCTTCAGCTACTTCTTTCCACAGCAATGCGCACAGACCCTGGCGAGAACTTGTGGAAGTTTGGGTGTCCCAAAGCGCCTGTCGCTTAATAACTTCGTTTATCAATTGAGCAATGTCCATTATGGCCTAACCGTCAACTTAGGAAAATGTATTCTTACAGAAAACGAATAAGCTGAATATTGCAACAATTTTTTATCAATACTGCGTCTATTCTAATATGTATTGATACTTTCCTTCCGGTTTGTTCGAACAGAGAAAATTAGCTGCTTACGAGATTTTTGACATGAAATGATGCGCTTTTTTAAATCGTATAAAATGACAGTTATCCCAAATTTACGGAAAGAAACTGAGGCAGTACAGTTGGGATGGGCGAAACGCGTGGAAAGAAACAAAGCAAAAAATAATATACATAGTTCTAAATTAAATCGATGATTTCACTTCCAATTTCACGGCTAATTCTTTCACCAATTTAACAGATTTCTTAGTCTATTTAGTGCAGCCTATTTGGTGCAGTTTTAATAAAAACTTGTCTTGGACATGGATTAATTACTAATTACCCGATATGCTGTATTTTTTTTTATTAGATTCATACTCGAAACCTATTGAAAACTTCGGATATTACTATATTAATAATTTATTATCAATTAGTAATTTAGCTTATACGAAATTTAAATAATTTTTGGTCACATTGCTCGATTGATGCATTGTCAATATTGCTACGATTTCGATGACATTTTTAAGCGCTTTTTCGGTTAAGAAGTCAACATTTTTTAAAGTTATTGTAATCACGATAAGTGACTTATCACAAATGATATCGAATGCTAATACTATCAATAGAAACCTAATGCAAATATTGCTTAAAAGATAGTCCAGGAGGTATCGATGAAGCTGATCTAGTATTTTTGTGGGCTTTTCTCACGATTGGTTTTGTCTGTTAGTTCCTAAAAGTGTTTTAACAGTTTTCAATAGAAGTGGAATCCGCCCATTATCAAAGCTACAATGGACACAGACTAAGTAAGACGCAAACTTAATGCTAATTAATTCTTTTCGTAAAATTGTATTCGTAGACAAACGATAGAACCACTGCACACTCGTTTCAAAATCGTTCCATTTCAATGCTCCTGAGCTATTTAAATCGGTACAAGTTATCGTTCGCATTGGGAAGCTCCATCACTATCGGTTTTGCAAATTTCTGCGTCTTGCTAATTATTTATTTGTCTTGGAGACTACTGCCATTTACAAAGTAATAAGTAAACGAACTGGGCAGGGAGATATTGTAACATTGCAACCAAACTCGACATATACATATATCCAAGTTTAATATTGAAGTATGGACACCAATCCAGGCGCGGGCGCTGTGACCATCGTTCAGACTCCACCAAAGAATGATGCTGTAAATTCTGCCGTCAGTCCGCAATGGGTTGAAATTGGATTTAATGGGACGAAAATTAACAATTTCTTTTTCAATGCAATTGATTTCTCTTCACCGAAAGCTGCCACAAAAGATATGTGCAGTGTCATCTTTGGCAGAGAGGTGCTCGGCACACACACACTCTCCGGCAGATCCGGACCATTCAGTGTGCGCCATAATAGACCGACAAAGCCGAAACTTTCGCCGGAAAAGGTGGAGGACATCACTACTTTCATCATACAATTATTTAATGTGGGAAGAAGAGAAGTACGTGAGCTTATTTCCCAGATCTGCTGCAATTATGCGAAGTCGTTGGAAAGAGAGAAGCGGAGCAGTATGTGAGGGAGGCAGAAAATGTACATGACATGCGCCTGAACTTAATTTTTTTTTTTTTATGTAAGCTATGTATGTAAATCGGTACGTATTTTTGTATGTACATATGTAGATGTACTTATATTCAGATGTTAATGCAAATACAAAGAAATACCGAATTCAAAGTTTCTCAGAACTAAGTAAAGAGCATTAGGCGACTGATGGCTGGTGGCTGCTGGTGGGCTTTTGAAATACATAGCTTTTCTTTTATCTTGTTGTGTGTCAGTGACAGTCGCCAGGACAGCACATTAAGCTTCAACTCTCTGGAGCAGCATGCCACAAAATTGCCTTAAAAGTCATTTGGCAGAGTCGTTGATGGCAACAACAATTTGGCCACATTAATACATTTTCGTCAGCAGAAATCAATCAAATGGAAATAATAGACCTTTCCCAGTGGCAGCGGCAACCCGAGCAGAGGCCGGCACTGCCTTTGCCAGTGGCTCCTTTTCTTTGGTCCTATATCGCAGAGCGGAGCGGACCGACTGTGTGTCCTACAAGAATGGGCTAAATGATGCTAATCGGATTTGAAAATGAGAGAGTGCCACCCGCACAGTACAACAGCAGCAACAACAACTTAAGTGAAATTCTCTTTGAATCACAAAACAGAAAAGGCGGAGTCGACCAAAGTGGGACACAGAGAAACAGACAGACAGACAGATAAACAAACATCCTCGTATATAGAGTATACATACTATAAAAGTATGTGTGTGTGTCTGTGTGTGTACAGGATTCATGAGCCGTCGGTTCGTGGGCAAGTGTAAACAATCGGCAACCGCATGGAAATGGGCAGCGACGCCACTGCCAACCAGCAACAACAAAAACATAAACGATGGCGACGCCACTGCCTCCGTTTCTTGTCATTTCATTCAATGCGATGCCCCGTAAATTCGATGCGATGCGTTTCGATTTCATATTCATTTATGCGCCTCGAAGATAAGCACTAAATAAATAAATTCTTATGGCCTAAAGTGGGCGGTCCGCTGTGGTGAGAAAATGTAAATAAATGACTGGAAAAATATGGCAAGAATCCGCATAGTAAACGGACAGCCCCCCAGGGCACTTGCTTGTGGGCCAACTTGGGGGTATTGGCAGTGCTGGCCTGCTAGCCTGCTGTTGTCTGCCTCGCTCTGGGCCGTGGTGATTCGTATGAAAATGATTTAGTCGAAAGCGTCGGCAATCGAATCGTTAAACGGCAGCTACCAAACTGTAAATTGTTCGTTGGCCAAGTGAGCGCGCACAGCTTTTAAATTACAGCTGTCAATGTCAATCGAATGGAAAGGAAACAAGTCCATATGCTGGCAGGCGTGGGTGTGTACATAACTATATACATACATACATACAAATGTTAAATTGTGTGTGGGTGTGTGGGTGTGTGTGTGTGTGTGTATGCGTGTGTGAGGCATGGTTTTGTTTTTGCGCACACATGTTGCCTGAAATCAAAACATCATGAAATTGTTTTTCCAACATAATTTGCTTGAAAAATTTCCATTTTGCTGGATATTTCCGTGCGTTTACAGAAGGGATATGAACAACATCCGGCGTTTTGGGTCATAATTTCTAACAACATTTTACTACTCATTGCATTCGACCAACCAAAAAGCCAACCAAAAACTACCAGAACGAAACGGTAATAGGGGGTATGGGAATGGAAATGGTAATGGGGGAATCGGAGTCCACATTCTGGCATTCAGGCGGCCAGTCAACCAACCAAACGATTTGGTTATTACAAACTCATATCTTGTGTTTTTTGGCTACTGCTGCTGATGTTGCTGCTTCTGCTGTTGCTGCTGCCGGTGCTGCTGCTGCTTTCTGTTTTTGTTGCTATTGCTGTTGTTGGCATGACCAAAGTGACCGCAGGCGTATGGTTTTGGCATGTGGATGGAGGCCAAGTGGGTGACCAATTTTGGATGCTGGTAAAAATGTTCAAAATTTGCATTTTATATTAACGGAAACAGTTGTTGCCTTTGAGCGAGCACACATCGCATCGACACACACACACACCCACATACATACATATCAGGCCTCAGCCCGCATTTCTAAAACAAATTTGACGCGTTTATGCATGTAAATTTAACAAATTTGATTTTAAATATCTTTTGGCAAAGGCAACCAAGCAAGCGGCTGACATGTCCAATGCACAGCCTCTGCCATATGGCTAAGGGCAACATAATAAATAAAGTACATTCATGATCCTATGTATATGGTATCTGTATATGTATGTTTGTTGTTTGTATGTGTGCTTTATGCCATTTCACAAAATATGCCAAAGAAAATGTGAGCCGCATCCGTATCCGCATCACCACAACTACAAAGCAAACTCATACCTTACGCTCATCCTGGTAAGTGGCTCACTTATATTATGTGGTTTTTTGGACTTTCGGGTAAATTAATGCAGAACATACGTTCTCTCAGCCCTACAAAAAATACGGTTCTGTCGTCACCTTTTGGGCATGTGTGCGTTCAAATGTGTTTTGCTCAATCGGAAACATGTTCAAAATTCCAATTTGACTTTGTGCTACAAAATGTGAAATGAACGAGTCCATTAAAACTTTCAAACGGAAATATTGTGCTAATTTAGAGCAAAGGGTTGTGTTTTAATTTCTTGAATGGCTTCACTTTTAAATGCGCAGCCTCGTAAAATGTACACGTACATATATTTTGTGTGTGTGGCCCCAAAGTGGTCGGCTTGATAAATCGGTCAACATTTTGTTAGAGTGTCCACTAAAGAAATATAGTATTGCAACTATCTATGCCAAAATACTGTACAAACTTTTTAGATGAAATACTGACTGTCAAAACACATTAATTTCTTAAAACGTCTTTATAATGAGACAACCAAGGTTAGTTTCCCTACGCGTTTGTAACGGATATTTTCAGGTGAGCAATTTCGGAAAACTTAAAATATTGCAGACTTCAAGACATGCCCAAATACCAGGGTCTTTAATCATTATGAGTATAATTATAATGATTTTTATACCCTGTACCCGTAGGGTAAAAAGGGTATATTAGGTTTGTGCAAAGTATGTAACATGCAGAAGGAAGCATCTCCGACCCCATAAAGAATATATTCTGAATCAGCATGACGAGAGAAATCGATCTAGACATGTCCATCTGTCCGTCCGTCTGGATGAACGCAAGGATCCCAGAAACTATAAAAGCTAGAATTACCAAAGTTGGTATCCAGATTCTCCTAAGTTCTAGAAAGGACAAGTTTATTTTATTTTTTGGAATTTTCCCCCGCTACAGAGTTTCGTCAATACCGTCCACATTTCAAAAGCTACCTTAACCAAACTTTGCACACATCATTTATATATAATTATCTACTTCTGTTTTATTATTTATATATCTCTATTTGATCTACTA